TCCTAACGTCCCCCGCTGAACAGCCTGGGGAGTTCAACGAATTGTAGTAAACAGCTGGAGAAAACACGATGCTGTCTCAAACCTTTTGCCTCGGATGGTGAGGAAGAACTTGGGTTTGGCTCTTAACTACAGTCTTTTAGAAAAGCTAAGTAACAGCTACAGTAAAGCTGGATTCACAGGGAAAGCTACATGGATTGTGATACCAGACAGCCTGGAATGCAAGGCACAAAAGTTAAAGAGAGGAGGGAAGAAGCAGCAAAGGAAAAAGTATACAAGTATTTCAGAAAAAGCCTAGGTAGCAGCAAGACGATCTTTTTGGCACAGGAAAGAATATTCTGTTTACCTGATCAATATTTCTAAGTATAGCAATTTTGAAGAACTCTAAAGCAGTCCAGAGAGCAGACAGGCTAGTATTTAACTAGCTCAGCCAAATAAAGCTAACTGAAGTTGTTGTAAGTATTGATCAGATTAAAGTTTAATCACATCTGTCCTGCTCAAGACAAATTATCTTGCAAGACAGTGCTTTGTTGGTAGGGAAGAAGAATAAAGCAGACACAGCCAACTGGATACAAAGATGGGCAAAAATCCAGAGTCGTTTTCTCCTTCATGAACAACCTTGATGTTAGCAAAGATCCACTCTTCCCTCTAATCCAATACTGGATGTTACTGCAAAAACACACCAATACAACTCGACCATAATGCAAAAAGATCCATTAGCAAAGAGTTCCCAAAACGAAATCAATCTTTCATTATCTAAGACCTGATTCACATCATCTCAAAAAGACATCCCCAGTCAGATGCCCTACTTGTCTTTCCCAACAGTTCACACAGACATTGCCCTCAGGTTCATGGGAAGCAGAAGCATTTGGTAACAAGGAGGCTGTTCAGACATACAAAAATGTTTCAAGTCTCACCGATATAGCCAGGTTTACTTTGCAATTAGAATGCAAGTGTTCTAATTTTCGAATGTGTCCGGTATCAGCAAATTAATCCCGTGATGAAGTTACAGAAGCAGCTGCTCACAATGCAGCTGCTGATCTCCAACCACCTGTAACAAGCCAAATGGGCGCCTCTCCTACCTCAGCGGTGCCTCACACCAACTCAACTGCAGCAAAAGTCTGAGTCAAAGTCTGACCTTTTAGAGCACACGGCAGAACACGCAACCCAACAGGTACCTGCACACAATGTAGCGGATCACGTTGGCATGGCAGACAAAGATCTCGTAGCTGTCTTCTTCCTGCTTTGCGTCAGCTCTATGAATGAAGTTTCGAAAAGCAGCCTCAATTCGAGCTCCATCTTCGTAATACTGCTAATGGCACAGAGTTCAGAGTTAAACTCAGCTCAGAGCAGCGTGTGCCATTGTCTGCGCTTGCAGATGGGCTGTGTCTTCTAAAGAGTTCTTCACAGGGATGCACAGCCTCTTCACAGAGGCTGAACTAATACTTAAGGATTTTAAGTTATTTTAACTGTTCTGTACGCTTATAGAGGAGAAGATTATGCAATTATCTGAGGTCTGTGATGAAAAGCATCGGCTCAGACATTGCAAGTTATCACTACAGACAATATAAAGTATATTTAAGTAAAAACAAGCATGAAGAAACAAAATGCAAAACGTAAAAAAAATTAAACCAACAAAGCTTTAAGTAGAAAGTTACCACAGCTTCTGGTTTCCAGTGAGAGACTGGAGGGTCTGGCTCTATAGGTGCTCCCTCTCTCAGCAGATCAGTACTAATTTTTTTGACTCCTGAAATATTAAATACATTCAGAAAGAAGCTGTTACTTCACATGCCACTGCAAAAAGCCCCAGAACTCTACAATCAATACACTTCTCAAGGAATTCTTCCTCTCCAGCCTGAAGACCATTTTAGTCTCCACGCTTCCTGTCAAGGTCGTGAAACATCTGTCCAACACAACAGAGAACTGACATTCAGGTAATCGTACCGGAACGTCTGATAAAATACCAGCTAGAATTACATACAGTCAAACACCTTTAGTTTATATTCTGATGAGCCTGAATGGCAGGAGACAAAAAAATAAACAGAAAAACCCTCACCCAAAACTCCATAAAAACAAAGCACCCACATTAAAAAAAACCAAACCAGACCTCTGTCTCTGTGTGTGTGTGTGTGTGTGTGTGTGTGCCACCTTTTCCCCTGCACCCTGGAGAGAAGAGCACACAAGAAGGGCCTGTGAAATACTACAGGAAGTAGTATTGGACTACAGGAGTAGAACTGGAGTTTATGATCCTCTTCTCTCCTGCATTACTGCCCTGAGACTGAGGACTGAGCCCATCTTGCCAAGTGGTGACGGCCTTTTCTTTACAAAACGTCCAAGTGAAGAGCAACCAGGAGAGTTCTGCGCAGCAGCACTTCACTCAGAGGGGCAGATCCCTCTGGTATTTTTAAAGATGAATGGGAAACAAGCAGACTTCGGGTTTCTTTATAAATACAGACATATTCACAGACGGCTGGAAGTTGGCTAAATAACATCTCAACCTACTGGAAGCAGTTTTAAGCATCAGAAGATAATGAAAAACTAACAGAAGGAACTTACCTGGGAGATGTTTGCTTATAATTTCAGTTGTTTCTGTTGCTCTAGTCATGGAGGAGTGGATAATCTGATCGAATTTTAATCCCAAACTTGCCAGCCTTTGTCCAGTCAGTTCAGCCTGCTCTCGACCTTAAAAGCGACATTCATTACATAAATAGGTGACACTCATGTAAGCACCTCACACAAACTACTAGAACAGTTATCCAGTGGACATGAAAGGTCTCCATCAATGTCAGGCTTTTACCTTTCAAAAAGGAACTGGAAAACATTTTAATCAGAGTAACTACTTACTGAAATCATGCTTATTGGCTTGACAATTTCAAGCTGTATTTCCTTCGGCAGGAAAAAGTACTTTGTTCAGCAAAACTGAAACGCATTAAATTGTAAACACTACAACTGAAAGGCAGCAATTTTATTTATATTTTTATATATATATATACACACATCAGAAAATTAACTAAGAGAAACAAAAGCCAGCTCTTAAAAGAAATCTACCCCAAAGTTAGTTGTGGAGGTAAGTTTCAAAGCCTTATCCCTGGGAAATTAATTATGTCAGCTACCAAGAAAATTTACTCCAGCAATCTTAAAATAATTGGAAGTTTCCTTTGTGAAGTTTCTTTACAATTAAGTGTGTTTAGAAGTCTATAAAGCAGGTTTTAAGTTTGGATTTAGAGGATCAAAAATGGAAGAAACAAACTTATTTGTGACGTCTTTTTGCCCCAGAGGATCCAGAAAGTAGATTAAGGTTTGGCAGTGAGACCCAGGGCAGAGCTCAGATACTGACCTGTACTCATCAGGACAGCGGCACGTGAGAAAAGTATTTCTCAAAATGCAGAGTATGATATTTCTAGTAATACGCACCAAGGGGGGTCAGAGTTCTGTCTTTATCAGCTCGGCCATCCACATTATACTGAGAATGACGGATAAGGAATATGTGCCTGGTGGCTTTCGCTTTGCAGTGACCCAAGCGTGAGGCAAGTTCTTCTTCCCCAGTTTCTTCATTTTTCTTTTTGAGGTTGATAAGGGCCAGTGGTTCACGCCTAAACAAACACATTCAAAACGTCATTTTTAGATAGGGGAGACTAAAAGCCAGGGGAATATTATGGATGGATAATCTTGCCTTATTTCTAGATACAGCTGAAGTACCAAGATTTACTGTTTAGACATTTATATGGCAAAATTGATTCAAATAATTGTGTAAGAGTGATAAATGGAAGTTTGCATTAAAAAAAATAAAAAATAAAAAAAGTTAATGCCAGAGGTTAAAAGGTGCAACTGACAGACAGATTTGCTGCTTAGTGACAGCCACCTCTCATTTAATTGGGGAAAAAAGCAACAAACAAACGCAGCAGAAAAAGTTAAATCCTAATACAAACAGACGGCTCACCCTAAAACATACGAAAGCTACAGTCTGCCTGGACAAGATCAGAAACGCTCACAAAGACCCTACATTCAAATTCCTGACAATTCTTGGGATGTTCCATCACAGGTATAATGTTTTTTTTTCGAGAGGACACTGGGCACAGAGGATCTTCCCCTCCCTCCCCCGGTGTCACAGATCAGCGCCACAGATTTCCCGCAGCTGACAGGGACACTGCGCTCAGCATCAGCCCTGTCCAAATCTCCCAGATTAGTCTTCTGGTCCCCCTCTGCACTGATCCTCTACCCCGTTAATACAAATCCTTTTGCTAGGTCTCCCCACCTCAGAGTGTAAATCCCTTGATCTCATATCTAAAGACCAGTTAATTTATTTAATTCATACCAGACCTCACTTCTTCCATTATTATAATTAAACTCAGTTATTTATTTATTTACAGGTTTTTTTAAAGCAAGAATATAAATTTTTTTATGCAGTTCGACACAGAGTAATTCGGTCACAGAGGATTGTCGCTTCACTTACCTATTGCTACAGTTCACGCAGCAACACTGCTTTACTAAAGACACAATATCTGTTAAATAATGAGGCTCAACACACTCCTTAAGCTGCTAAAGTTCAGCAAGGCATTAAAAATGAAACAATAGTCCAATAACAAGAAGTTCCATTGCTATTTCATAAGATACTTCTGATTCAGTAGAAACTATATTGCTGTACATTAGGAAAATGGGAAAAACAGTCTACAAAATTCAAGACTTCAAGCAGGTATAGCCAAAGCCATACCACACCAACTGGTAGGCACCAAGCAGTAGAAAACTAGAATCGTTTTGTGATACTGAATTTACATAACACCCTTCCACTGTTTGCACACCAGCATTTTTTTTTCTAGTACACGCTCCTTAACCACTACTGTTACCGAGCTCTACGGGCTCCGGCAATTGTAACAGCTACGGCAGTCCTAGAATAAGCTCCACTTCCTGAATTGAATTTAAAAAAAAAGTTACAAAATTCTGAAAGCACTTTAGAATCCCTGAAGAAAACGAACCATTTAACGGAACCGGAAAGAGCAGGATCTACAGTTAAACAAGCAGCTTTAGCAGCTCCCTCAGTGTAACTCTGTAACCAGTTACAACCTTATTTATATATATTTTTAATAATTAGGAGGTACATAGCCCTATTTACACAAGCATTTGACTCTGTAGCATCTCAAAAATCAAACCAGGATGCATTGTACAATAAAAATCTGTTAGTGCTTAAGTTTGGATTTACTACGATTAAACCGGAGCCTGACATACGTCTCCCCGGGGAGATAATTCTACCAGATGGAAGCGAAGGGAGCCAAAGCTCAATGCAGATACTCGCCCACTCTAATTAAAGAATCAGAAAAAATGTATTAACCCTTGGGTGAACGTATTTCAACGCTGCGAGGAACAGAGCTGAGCCACGCTCGAAGCAACGTCGCCTTCACGAGGACTTGAGAAGTG